GATTTCACACTTTTAGATTGCTAGTTGATAACCTAGAGAATCTATGTCTTGATGTGTGGTATTAGATATTCTAATTATGCTAAATTGTTATATTTAGTTGATGTTGCATTTTAGACTTTAAGTTGATAACCTTGAGAACCACTATGTTGTTGCTTTGTGTAAGCATGCTCCTATGTTGTTGCTTTGTGTAAGCATGACCCTATGTTGTTAAAATTGCATGAATGAGGTGATTGATGCTAGAAATGATCTTAGGTAGCTAGGATGCTCCCTGAGTCTCACCTTGATATAGACGTTAGGTGGAATGAACCACAATAATTAAATCATGCAACTTGTAAAACTTTAGGTCGATGCATGCTCATTTCCTACGAGTAGCTTTATGTTACTCACCCCTACGATACTGGGGCATATTTCAGGTACAGGATACAAGATCGGAGATTGTAATTGCTTGGGTGATTTGCTGAGTTGAGCTTCTTTAGAAGCATTCTTGTTCACATGTAAGTGTTAGCATGTTCATGATTTGTCTATGAAATGTAATTTTTATAACTTGGAGGTTTGACATGTCAAATGTTGTAAATGTATTGTAATGAGGCCAAAGGCCATTGTAGCACATCTATTTTATCATATTACATACACTTGCATGCTCACTTTGGCAAACATTACCTTCCTTGATGAAACAAGAACTCTAAGTAGCATTTTTAGGGAGTTTTACCTTATTCTGTTCTAGGGGCATTTTGCTTATTTCATAATGTGTTTTTTTTCATTTTTCCACTAAAAAACTCAATTTTGAGGGGGGTTTCTTCTTTGTGTTTTTCCAGAAAACATTATCTTGGCCCTCAAAAATTAATATTTTTTCGAAAAATCCTTGCTGCCATGTTTTGCAAATTTTTAGTACAAATGTAGTTGGCACTATTCATCGATTTTTTTTGAAAATCGTCACGACTGATCCAAAACTTCCGGAGGTCTTGTGGGTGCATTTTAAGATTGCATTTTCAATTTAGGCAATTTAAAAACCTCCCGAAGCCTTATTTCCAAAACTTGGGCAGTAGTTCGGATTAGTTTTTTTCCTCTTGACATGATTTTCTTGGGGGCATTCTGGGCATTTTACAATGCATTTTTTTTTTGTTTTCGTCCACGCATGGGGTAGGAAACTTGATTGTAGGGGGGGTTTCTTCTTTGAGTTTTTCCAAAAAAGTCCGTTTAGATGCCCGTTTTTACTCTCAGTTGCAGTAGTGATGGGTTGTCCTCGTCGGGCCGCCACGACATCATTTTTGTTTTTGACCTTTCTCCCCCGTCCGGACTCCAAATTAAGTAAATTTTTTTTTGAACTTGACTAATTTGTCATTGTTTTTCTAGTGGTGTGCTCGAAAGCACCTGAATCCGCTTTTTGCAAAATGAACAGTTTGGCCCTAGGTTCTTTTTGTCCGTTTTTGAAACGACACTTCTGCATTTGTTTCCTTTGGGTTCCGTGACCTCATTGAGGATCACATTGGTGTCTTAGAGATGCATTGTATCTCTAGAGACCGTTGTTTCACCTTTCGCTTCAGCATTTAGGATTCATTATCGGGTCATCTTTTAGTCATCACTGACGCACCGGGTTTACAAAACTTGGGCCGTCACAGTTTTGACACAGAAGGATCCATAAGTGAGGTGAATGCTTTGATGGACTCTATGGCCACTTTGAATTACCCACCTTGGAAAAGCAAGAAAGAACCTCTTCCATCACTCTCTAGTACTCCACCAGTTCCTTCTCTCATTTATCCTTCTATTCTTGAGCTTAAGCCCCTTCCATCAAATCTGAAATATGCCTTCTTAGGCCCAAAAGAGACTCTTCCAGTCATCATTGCTTCAAATCTTGAAAATGACCAAGAGAATGATCTTTTGGAAGTGCTTAAAGCTAGCAAAGAAGCCATTAGATGGAGTGTGGCTGACCTAAAAGGCATTAACCCTTCTATTTGTATGCATCGCATACACATGGAAGAGGATGAAAGGCCATTTAGGGATGCTCAAAGGAGATTAAACCAAAATATAAATGAAGTTGTCATGAAAGAGGTTGTGAAACTTCTAGATGCGGGAATCATATATCCTATCTCTGATTCCAAATGGGTTAGTCCAACTTAAGTGGTTCCCAAAAAGTCGGAAATCACAGTTGTTGAAAATGCAAAGGTTGATCTTATTTCGAAACACACCGCCACTTCTTGGCTTGTTTGCATAGATTACTGAAAGCTGAATTCTGCCACTAGGAAGGACCATTTTCCATTGCCTTTCATTGACCAAATCTTGGAAAGATTGGCCGGGCAATAATACTATTGCTTCCTAGATGGTTACTCGGGGTACAATCAAGTGGCCCTAGACCCATTGGATCAAGAAAAGACCACCTTCACATGTCCCTTCGGTACATTTGCTTATCGACGGATGCCTTTTGGATTGTGTAATGCTCCTGCCACTTTCCAAAGGTGTATGATGTCAATTTTTTTGGACATGGTGGAGAAGTATTTAAATGTCTTTATAGATGACTTCTCGGTTTTTGGGTCCTCATTTGATTCATGTCTCCAAAATCTCAAAAAAGTGCTTCAAAGATGTTGTGAGACTAATCTTGTGTTAAGTTGGGAAAAGAGCCATTTCATGGTTCAGGAAGGAATCGTGCTTGGACATGCCATCTCTAAAAGAGGAATAGAAGTAGATAGAGCGAAAGTTGAGCTGATTTCCGAATTGTCTCCACCTACTACGGTGAGAGAAATTCGCTCCTTTCTATGACATGCCAGTTTTTATCGCCAATTCATCAAAGACTTTAGCAAAATTGCTAGACCCTTGTACAACCTTCTTGCCAAGGAGACTCCATTTGTCTTTAATGAAGCATGCTTAAATGCTTTTCATCAACTTCGCACTCTTTTATCATCCGCTTCCATCATGTAACCTCCAAATTAGTCCTTACCATTTGAGATTATGTGTGATGCTTCCGACTTCGCAATGGGTGCTGTTTTGGGGCAAAGGGTAGGTAAACTACCATATGCTATATACTATGCGAGTAAGACTTTCTCAGGCGCCAATTGAACTATTTTACCACCGAGAAAGAATTACTTGCCGTAGTATATGCCCTTGATAAATTTCGGTCATATCTCTTAGGATCCAAGGTAATTGTGTTTTCCGATCATGCCGCTCTAAGGCATCTTTTAATGAAAAAGGAAACCAAACCTCACTTGATAAGATGGATCCTATTTCTTCAAGAATTTGACTTTAAAATCAAGGACAAAAAGGGCTCCGACAATGTCGTTGGCGATCATCTGTGTAGATTAATGGTTGAATCTTCTCCAAATCTTGAAATTCATGAATCATTTCTGGATGAACAACTCTTTCAAATCTCAAATGGGACGTTGCCTTGGTTCGCCAACATTGTTAATTATCTTGTAACCGGAAAACTTCCCATTACTTGGTCAAAACAAGAAAATGACCGATTCTTTGCTAACATCCGGAAATACTATTGGGAAGATCCCATTCTGTTTCGTTATTGCCCAGATCAAATCATAAGGAGATGTGTGCCGGAAAGTGAAGTTCTGAGCGTCCTTGTGTTTTGTCACACACTTGCTTGTGGTGGGCATTTCAGTGGAAAAAAGACCACTTTGAAGGTTCTTCAAAGTGGGCTCTTCTGGCCCACTATCCACTGAGATGCCTATAACTTTTGCAAGGTGTGTGTTCGGTGTCAAAAGTTGGGATCAATGTCAAAAAGAGACATGATGCCCTTAACTTCAGTCTTCGTAGTTGAAATCTTCGATGTGTGGGGCATAGACTTTATGGGACCATTCCCAATGTCTTATGGCTTTCAATACATCCTCGTTGCCGTCGATTATGTGTCAAAGTGGGTTGAGGCTTGTGCTGCCAAAATGAATAACCACTCCATGGTAATTGCATTCGTCAAATCAAATATTTTTGCTCGTTTTGGTATGCCAAGGGCCATGATAAGTGATGGAGTAAAACATTTCTGTAATCAATTCTTGAAGAAACTCTTTTTGAAATACTCCGTCACACATAAAGTGGCCACTCCCTACCATCCCCAAACAAGTGGGCAAGTCGAGGTGTCAAATAGGGAAATCAAGCATATTCTTGGAAAACTGTCAATCCGACCCGAAAAGATTGGTCAAGAAAATTGAACGATACTTTGTGGGCTTATCGGATAGCTTACAAGACTCCAATAGGCATGTCTCCATATAGACTTGTTTATGGGAAGTCTTGTCATCTTCCGGTTGAGTTAGAACATAAAGCACTTTGGGCAGTAAAAAAGCTCAACTTTGATCTTGATAAGGCTGGACAAGACCATTTGCTCCAACTCAATGAGCTAGAAGAATTGAGAAATGATGCCTACGATAGTTCAAAAATCTACAAGGCAAGAACAAAAGCATTTCATGATAAACATATTGTGAAAAAGTCCTTTGAGGCCGGTCAAAAAGTTTGGTTATTCAACTCTAGGCTCAAATTCTTCCCTGGAAAGCTTCGAATCAAATGGGAAGGCCCTTATCAAATCATCTCCGTCTCACTTCATGGGGTGGTTGAACTTAAAAATCTAAAAGATGAAGGGACTTTCAAAGTTAATGGGCAAAGGCTTAAACCATACATTAATGGACAAGCTTTTCAAAGAAATGTGGAATCCGCTCTCTTGGTAGATCCCATTTACTTTGACGATTGAGGGCATATCACGTTTTTCTAGCGACGTTAAACACTAGTTGTATCGAGATTTCCTTCGTTGTATGTTAATTTACATTTTATTTTTTTTATTTTATTTTTCTTTTCCTTTTTGTACATTGATGAATTTTTAAATTCAAAAAGAAAAATAAAAAATAAAAAAATGTTGTAATGGATAGTGTAGGTTATTATTATTATTTTTATATATATATTTCATTTTAGTTTTGCTTTATTTAAAAACATAAAAAAAAAACACAAGGTAAAATATATATATATATATATATATATATATATATATATAGTACTAGTTCGTATAGGTTACTTTGTGATTTTATTTTAATTTTATTTATTATTATTATTATTATTTATTTATTATTTTTATTTTTATTTTTTTATTATATATATTTTTTAGTTTAGTATATATATTTCTTTCTAGTTTTGTGTAAAAGAAAAAAAAATTAAAAATGAAAAAATAAAAACAATTGATCTCTCATTATATATATTTAATTTTATTTAAGTATATATTTTTCTTCTAGTTTAGTATATAATTTTCTTTTTCTTTGTGTTAAAAAAAAAAAAAACTTGGAAATTAATCCCATTCTTAGCAAAGAGCAACAAAAAAATAGCCCAAGTGGACTGATCCCCTGTCCACGTGGATTGATCCCATTTTACTTGTATTTTCCCTTCTCATTACACATTAAAAGGACAATTTTTTGTAAAAAAATATCGATCCCCAGTAAAGGAGATCGAGCGCCCATCCATTCTTGCCATACCTTCCATTCCCAAACACAGTTTTCTTCTCCTTCCTTGCGAAACCCTTAACCCACCTCCAATCCCAATTTGTTGGTTCGCTCCTCACTGATCTCTTCTTCTCTTCCACGGTGTCGCGGCTGTGATTTCCGGCGCCATGGTTCTGATTCCTCTCTGATTCCGGTTGGTTTCTTCAGCGATTTTTTTATTGGTTCCTTCTCCCGCGAGCTTGTGGGTTGCCGTTATCCGTGCGGTTAATTGTTTCGGGTAAGTGCACCCGAATCCTTTGCGGTTAATTGCTTTGGTTAATTGACATTTATCATTTATCATCCACCATAGTGCTCCAAAGATGAGAGAATTTGATGAGAGAATTCAATACTCTTAATCATATTTTTCAGACTATCTGGGTGCTATTGTTGTGATAATAATTTTCATGTTTGGATCATGTGAAATCCAATTTGCATCCCGAATCTCTTTCCCCTTCTTTGTTGTGTACTAAATCTAGAGTTCTGCCTTTGTTTTAGAGTACTGAAATTGTGACATTGTTTCGCAATATAGATTGTTGGTCTAAAAAAAAAACCCTACAAAACTAAATCTATAGCAACAGGGTTGCAATATCTGGAATGGGTGCTTGAGTTGGATTTGTTTTGGAGTTGAATTGAGTTGTTGTAGGTCTAAAAAAAAAACAGAGTGATGATTTTTGAATTGTTGTTAAAAAAAAAAAAAAATTGCATTGATGTTTTTTTTTTTTAAAAAAAAAAAAAAAAGTTGAATTGATGATTGCACATAGAGTTGCATTGATGTGTAAAAATAATAATAATAAAAAAAAAAGTTGAATTGATGATTAAAAAAAAAAAAATTTCACAGTGGCCCAATTTGGTGATTGGAAAACTAGAGTTGGATGCTTCATTTGACATTGAATGTCTTGTTGGTTGATTTGCAGATTTTGGTTTGTCATTGGAGTAGGGTTATTGAATTTGGACTACTTCCCATATATTTCAATCTTTAAGAAATGACTTGTGTTTCTTCTTCCAAACGTTTCAAACCCTCCAAAGAGACTCCCAAAGCTGTGTGGCGCAACAAACGTCTGGATTTTGAGACTACTTTTGACATTAAAGGTACATTTCGCCACAATGACACGACTGAATGGGCGGTGTTAGAATTTGAAAGGAGACGTTTATCCTGCCTTTTTAGACCAGCTGCAGAGGTTGCATATCCCCGTATTGTGTGTCTGTTTTATCAGAATATGGAATGGTTTAGTGATGCGCCGGATATATTAGCTACAACCATTGATGGTGTCCGAATTCACTTTGGTGTCTTGGACATAGCCCAGGCATTGGGGTGTCCACATTTGTGCCCCACTAACTTGCTAGCAGAGATGGGGAGCTACATTTTGGCAAATTCTCAGAAAAACCTATTGTGCATTCTATTGTTAAGGATATGTGTGACGGGAAGTATGGAGACAATAAGAAGAAGAATTGTGCCAGCAAGTCCTCACTACCTAAGAATATGTGGTTTTTCGATTAGGTTCTGAAACGGAATGCTTTTCCAATAGGTCATAAGGTACAGAGGGGGCAAGAGTTCTTAATAGCGTTATATGCTACACACACTGGAGCATGGTTTTCTGTTCCAACTTTCATCTTTAACCAAATGCATAAATATTAGAAGCATTTAGTGGCGAGTGGGGATCCGAATGCGTAAAAATGGAAACTCCCGTTTTCGTATCTTATTACCCAGCTTTTTGTCCTTCAACGCTTCGTGGTTGATAATGATGAGGTTTCTGAGGCTCAACGGGTGACTTTTGGGCTAGCACAGTGGAACTTAAGCCTTGCTCATATGCCTAGTGCCAAGAAGGAAGGTGATGGCATGGTAGCAGGTGGTAGAGAGGATGTGAATGCCCTGGTTGAGGACGTCGTTAGGAGGTCTGAGGAGCAGATTGCTAATGGTGCTAGTTATGAGATAGCACAGGCTGTGTCACCACATGCAGAAGAGTCTGCAGGGGTGACTAGGACAGAGTTCAATGCCATTGTGGGGCAGTTGAGGACCAAGTTGGTTGAATCTGAGGAGCAGCGTCGAGTCGAGCATGCTGAGCTTATACAGCAGCACATCACTACCCAGCGCATGCTACGTTATCTTCGTGAGATTGTTTCATCGAGTGGCTCTTCCACATTGCCACCTGATGCATGATTTCTCTTGTCTATGTTAGGCTATTTAGATTTTTCTATTTTGAGTGGATGGGATTTTAAGTGGCTATAGTCAGATTTTTTTAGTGATTTCAAGCTGGCTATTTTGGGAACCTGTAATTTTGGGTTTTGATGATATATTTTGGTTTCATTCATCCATATATGATTGCTTTTGGCTTTTGTTGCTTATATTCATATAAAAAAAAAACAAAAAACAAAAAACAAAAAACAATACTAAGTAAAAAAATAATGAAAATAAATAAAAAATAATAAAAAAATAAAAATTGCAAAGTATCGTTCCGTCTTGCTAGAAACGTTAAACTTAACCCATTATTATTATTATTATTATTATTATTTATTTTGTAGGTTGTATATATTTATGTTCTTTTTCTTTATTTCTTTTAAAAAAAAAAAAAAAAAAAACAAACAAAAAAATAAATAAAATAATAATAATAATAATAAAAAAATTTCAAAAATATGTGTTACTAGTATGCCCTTATGACTGGTTATGAATGTTTTCAGATTTTATCAAGGGTTTCATCTTATATCTCTTTGCATTGTGTTATCTATTATTTAGAACTGTATGAATTGCTTATCCCATGTGATATTTGATGTGAGTTTGCTAGTATGGTTATACAGCTAGGTTTTTGCATCCAAGTTTGGGGGAGACGTCTTTCCTACTGGATCATTGCCAGATTTCATAATCTTTGCCATCACGGTATACTCTTTCCATTATTTTTCATTATTCTCATTGCACATTAAGGACAATGTATAGTTTAAGTTTGGGGGTAAGGTCATCATGATTCATTTTAGTTTAAGTTAAGCTTTAAATGCATGATGAGATTTGAGATGTGTTTAGCAATGATTTTGAGCTTTTGAAGTATAGTGCCTTTGAAAAGCAAGTTGTTAGCATCTAATACTTCTTGTATGCTCTAGGATGCCATTTAGGGGTAAATTTTTAATTTTTGATATCATGTTTGCTCTTGTGGTACACATCATCTTGTTGGTTGAAAATGCTTTGAGAGTTGATTCTAGAATTCTACACTTGCACTTGCGCACACTAGCATTCAATTTGTGGGGTACATGCTTAGTTGATTATTGTCTTGGTTTATCCCAATTGAGCTAGTATGCTTTGAAAGCTTTCATTCTTGATAAAATGACCTTGCAAAGAAAAGAAATAAAAGCACTCACCAAAGGTGAGGAAAAAAAAAAAAAAAAAACTGCATTCTTTCAACATGTCAATTGATTAAAAAGGAAGACAAGGAAAGAATGTAAGATGTATGAATACTTTGAGTTCGTAGCCTAGCTATTCCGAGTCATTACGCCCTTAGGAGTGTCTTTACACTTAATGCCCTAAGACCATCTGGTTTGGGAGTTGTTGGCTCAACGCTTGTTACATGAGGTGATTAGAGAGTTTAAGAAACTTGAACATTGCATATAGTCATACATTAAATAATAATAATAATAATAATAATAAAATAAATAAAATCAATTTAAAAAAATTAAAAAAAAAATGTTTGATTGAATAACAAGGTTCATTCAATGTCTTGAGGATTGGTATTATATCTGTATGCTAGTTTGAGGGTAATGCTATACAATTACTTTGATTTGCTATGATAGCAACACATTTTGATGCCGGTTCACTTAAAAAGGATGATAGAATTGATTCAATTCGCATGATTAACTTGCTTGACGCGTAGAGGACCATTTTTGCTTACATGATATTAAAATGTTGAGAATAGCTTCGAAATGGCAGAAATTTGCATACTTGAAGTAGTCTACTTTCAACACTTATTTGATATGTGTCGTTGCTTCTCAAGTAAGAAAGAGTTGTTGATATTTGTGGGGTACCATTTTTGAAAACCCTCACGAGACTTCACTCGTCCACTAGAGGTAACCTAGGGGTTTAAAAGGCTTGTTGCATATGCTAAATGCAATCGTGATCCCTACGATAGTGGTGTTATCTTTATTTGCTTTATTAGTTCATAATTGTATTTATGTTTGTTTCATTTTCATATACTGTAGTTCATTGCTAGGGACTAGCAATATCTAAGTTTGGGGGCGTGATAAGTACTTAAATGTTGCACATTTCAGCACCTAAATTAGGGTATTTTAGTCATTGCATCTATCTTATTTTCATGTTTTAGTTCTAATTTATGTTTTTGTCAATTTCAGGTCAATAAGGTTTAAACGGACTAATTTTGGTTCACTAAAGCCTTTTTGGAGTCAAGTAAAGACATTCAGAAAAAGTTCAGAAAATGGCAAAAAGAGATCGCAGCCCATTGCTCGTATAGTGTGTTTATTCTTCAAAAGCGGTCAATCTCGAGCTTTTGATGATGTTCCTAAAGATGAAGAAGCAAACCAATTAGGCCAGAACCAAAATGGAGCCAAATAAGGCTTAAAGGAAATTTCCAACTCTGGGGGATCGATCCCCCACTATTCACAGAACTAAAAATGCCCTTGGGGGACCGATCCCTGAGGCTGTAGGATCAATCCCCCAGTACCTGGCAGCATTACGGGATTTTCTTATTTTGGGCTTATTTTTGTAACTTATGAGCTTTAATAGGGTTTGTTACTTAAGGCCCAGTGAGCCATTAGTTTAGGGGTAGTTATTATTTTATTTAAGTGAGTTTTTAATTTATTAATTGGGGGGGATTATTAGTTTTTCTGTATCGATATATTCTCTCTGGAAAAACACGCGAAAGAGGAGAAACGAAGAACGTGCTAGGGTTTGGAAGAGGAAGCTCAAAGATGATGAAGCAGATGATGGAGATTGTTCCGTCTTCGAATCCGTCAATCATGAGTGGTTGATTCTTCTACTTAGGGTTCAATAAACCCTAAGCATGTAACCTAATTCTTAACTCTTGACTTTTGGGGATTAATTTTTGTTATAGCCTTGAGATATATATCAATTCTTTCATTTGATTGTCTATATCAATTTTATATTGTCTTATATGCTTTTTATTGATAATTAATTTTTACATTTGATTTCTTTGTGAATTGAATCATGTGATGGCTATGCATTGTATTAAATTGATGAAATTGTGTTCTAATTTAATGGAATTTGCTTCTGCTAGATGGATTGCACTATACAGTTAGTTTATTTAGGTTAAGTTCTTGTTGAATTTAGTTAATTTTAGGCTTAATTAGTTTAATTACACATTCGTTCTTAGGTAAATAAACAATCCATGCTTGTGTTTGATTTCCATGCTTGTTGCCACAATTTACATTATCCTTTAGATTAATGTGAGTTGAAATTGCCAATTGAATTAATGGACCATGTTTTGAATTGGTGAATTGATTTACACTTAGTTAATTGTCATTAGGTAAATGATTCAGGCTTTAAATTGATGTTTCATACTTTTCATTGCAATTGTTAGCCACATTTAGATTATACATTTTATTTCCCCAATTAGTTGAAAGTTGGTGAGTTAGGGAATGTACTTAGTGGTGAATCGTACACCCTAAATCTCTTTCCAATATTTTAAACTCCATTATTTTATTGCAATTATTTAGCTTAAAATAAGTCTAATCACAAAACCAAATCTTTTTAGCAATCACATAAGTATTAAAGTAGAATTCAATTATGGAAAACCTATAATTGTTTAGATCTCTTGGGACGATCCTTGCTCACTTTATACTCCATAGTATAAGTGTTTAGTAGTTTTATAAATTTTAAAATATGGTGCTCACTTAATATTATTTCTAAACCTAAATTGTTGTGCATTATTTTGTGCACACGCTCGGTCGCATCACATTTGACTCAAAAGCCTTTTTAAAATCCTTTCTTAACACATTTTCAACATAAGAATTTTTCAAATCATTTCTCAATTCTTTCTCAACAAAAGGATCATGCACATGCAAAGAAGGAGGAGTAGGGTGTGATACGGGATGGGTGTCAACTTTCGGTTGCACTGGTTCACTCTGTTCATTTGATTTACTAACTTGGTTGTCAACAATTTTTTAACTTTTCAAGATTGTCACCACATTGACATGTTCAATTGTGTGACCTTCCGAGGAGGGATTAGTCTCCACAACAAATTATTGCTTTGGTGGGGCATTTAAAGGCATCTTCCCTTTTTCTCTAGCATGAGTGACTGTCTCTGCTCAGCACGATAAAGCTCTAAGGCTAGAACTGTCGAACACCTGAAAAATAAGAGTGGGTCAAGCCTACGAACAAGTTCTATTCTAACTACAATCCAAACAGAGACTCGATACGCAGATACATCCTAAATATCTCAACAATAACTATCTAGTCCATATACATATATATATCCACACAAAAAGGACTCTCACTGGACTACAAATGGGGTCTTAACCTAAATAGAAGGCAACATGCAAAACGCACCAGAGGTGGGTATGAGTACCTAGACCTAATAGGGTACACCTCTACCATTATAGCCAGCTATGCATCCCAATGCATATACGCTCCCTAACCATTAATCTTGAGACTCAAGCTCATATCGTGGTACCATAACTATATATTTAAAATCCATCCACATCCAATGTAGTGCCGCTCAACTATTCATTGCCTTGACACGATATATAAGTAAGATTTAAATGTTAATCCATTCCCTTATTTTAGAATAGGTAGGACTTAGTATTTTGTATTAATCCGTCCCTAATATGCCACCGTCCCATACCGGTGCATACAATCTACAGCATTCATGTAATTGACAGAATATAATTTAATAGTTCATTAATTAAAATCCAGAGTATTAATCCATGTAATTAACAGAACAGAGTTTAATAGTTCAGCAATTAAAATCCAAAATATTAATTCATGTAATTGACAGAACATAGTTTAATAGTTCAACAATTAAAATCCAAAATATAGGCATAAATAAAGTCTGATAAGTATACGACCTTATTATGCATCTAATCAAGGTTTTAAAAATCATGTCAAAGTTATTTAAATCGCTAAGATAATATTAAGCAATTTAATCTTCCATGTCCACTAACAACATGCAAACTTATTTAAGCTTCCATACTGTTTAAATCAATAGCATATAGATAAAGATTATGCATCACGGGATCCTAATATGTCATGAAAATAATTTAGAATCCCATTTACCAACCAAAGACAGTCCTGAAATTAAAAAAAAAAAAATCAAAACCGTTGCTTTAAAAAAAATTCCAGTAAGTAACTATGCGAGAGAGCTTGCTCTCTAAAATGAGAGAGCAAGCTCCCACACAAGGGAGCCGGCTCCCCTACCTTGGGAGCCGGCTTTGTGACCTAGGGAGCCGGCTCTCTCTCTCATAAAGAGCCGTGGGCAAAAATACTTAGGGAGCTAGCTCCAACCCCTTGGGGGCTGGCTCTGTCCCAGTTTCCTGTCATCGTTTTCATCTCCAAAAATGCTTAAAACCCTCTCTAAGGTTTCGTTTAGGTCCCCAGAGGTCCGTCCATGTCTCAAAACTATTCCAAAAACCTTTTAAAACATAGTATGCAACATTAACAACAATTAAACAAAATACGAAACACTTTGATCAACAATTAAATTTCAATTAATCAATACATCATATAAAGTTTAAAGTCTGAATTACATGCATACAACAATAGTTTTAAAGTCCAATTTAATCCTGGAGAATATTTAGGCATGCACAGAACACAGGTCAAATAAAAAGAGCAAGAAATATAACTTGCCTCTGATTTCAGTTTTGAAACCTTAACATCGTCTTCCTAAGTTTTCTAGTAATCCGAGACTGTTCTAAATTCCTCTACTACTCCTGGTTTAACCCATAAGCAAGCTTCAAATACCCCTCCTCGATTCAGCCCTTGTTCGTGGCAAAAACCCCCAACTCTTTCTCTCTGTTTTCCTCTCAAAACTCTCTGTTCGTGAAGAGGGTTTGTTTACAACCTTATGCAGACGTATAATATTATATTTATAGGCTTCTATACAAACCTAATTCTAGTTAACAGAGGAGACGAAAAAGAAAAAGAAAAAAAAGATAATAAAATATAAAATAAATATATGTATAAGTCGGCTATCTTAACCACGGAATTCCTTAAAACATAAAACCCTAATAGTGTATTATACATTATATAATAAATAGTAATAATATTAATTTAAGTATTAATAATTACCAATAATTAACCTAACCCTATATATATATATATCCATATATACATGTATATACATCCATGGGTAAAACTGGACCCATTTAATCCTCTATCCAAGCCCAGCTCCGCTTAAAATTAAAAACTACATTTAATTCAATTTAAACCTATGTTATCAATTAAACAAATAATACAATTTAAACAATTAAAGCAAATCCACATAATCATATAATTCAATTAAATACATAAATCAATTATACAATTAACCAATTAATCAAATAGCCAAATAAACACATAATGAATTTAAAATTGCAAGAAAACCATAAAAGAAAATACCGAGACTATTCTTTTAAAATTAGGGGTATTACATTCTTTTCCCCTAACAAAAGGAATTCCGTCCTCAGAATTCGCTCTTACTTGCTTCCAATATTTTAGGAAACTGCGAGCGAATGACATCCTCCCGTTCTTAAGTAGACTCAGCCTCATTGTGGTGACTCCACTGAATACGCACTAAAAGGATAACTTTATTACGAAGAATCTGATCCCGACGGTTGACAATACGACATGGCGGCTTCATATATGTTGCATCCGGCTGTAACTTAATCTTTCCAACATCGATATGCTGATACCAATCCTCATCGCGCAGAAATTTTTGCAACATGGAAACATGGAACACATTGTGCACATGATCCAAATGATCCGAAAGTGCCAACCGATAAGCTGCAACTCTAACTCGATCCGTAATCATGAATGAAATGGTAAACTGCGGTGACAACTTCCCTTTCTTCCCAAAGCGCATTACACCCTTCATAGGAGACACTTTGAGTAGAACCTGATCCCCAACCTAAAACTCCAAAACACAAGTACGACGATCTGCATAACTCTTCTGCCTACTCTGGGCAGTGTGTATGCGATCCCTAATAAGAGTGATCTTCTCTGAAGTATTCTTAATGAACTCAGGACCCAAAAATCTGCTCTTGCCAACCTTCATCCAGCAAACAGGAGATCGGCACGGTCGGCCGTACAATACCTCAAACGGTGCCATACCAATAGTCTTCTGGAAACTATTGTTATATGCAAACTCCACAAGTGGCAAATAATTCTCCCAGTGGCCCTTGAAATCAAGAACGCACGAACGAAACATATCCTCGATGATTTAATTAACCATTTCAGTCTGTCCATCAGTCTGAAGATGATAAACAATGCTAAGATGCAACTTTGTACCTAAAGCCTGCTGAAAACTCTTCCAAAACCCTGACACAAAGCTCTAATCCCTGTCCGATAGAATAGATAACAGAATTCCATGTAACTTCACCACCTCTATTATGTAAAGTCTCACCAACTGCTTCGATGTGAAGTCAGTGCGAATAGGCAAGAAATGAGCTGATTTAGTTAATTTATCAATGATGACCCAAATAGAATTGTAATCCTTGAAAGAATTAGGCAATCCCTCCACAAAATCCATAGAAATGCTTTCCCACTTCCACTTCAGTATAGGTAGTGGCTGTATAGCTTCTGGCGGCCTCTGATGATTAATTTTGACCATCTGACAAGAACTGCATTTAGAGACAAAAATAACAATGTCTTTCTTCATACCTGCCCACCAAAACTGCCGCTTCATATCTTGATACATTTTGTCCCCTCTTAGATGAACAGAAAACTCAGAATGATGAGTCTCAGTCATTACATCATTCCTCAAATCATCAGTAGAAGGTACTATTAAACGCCATTTGTACCTCAAACCTCCATCAGTCCCAACATAGTAAATGAAACTTCCCCAGAAGCTATCTCTATAATTTTGTTAATGCACTGCTGATCCGTAAGTTATGCCTTTAGAACCTTGCGAATGATAGAAGGTGTAACTATCATGCA